TTTATTAGTTTGGTTTGATTTATAAATTTAAAAATTCGACACAATGATTTGGTTTGGTATTTGAAAAACCCGAACCAACCTGAGGTTGAAAAACCCAAAAAAATCCAAATTTTATTAGTTTGGTTTGATTTATAAATTTAAATTTTTTACACAAATGGTTTGGTTTGATATTTGAAAAACCCTGGAGTAAGATTTCTAAGAGAAGACCAGGAATTTTCGTCTCAGCATAATTGAAATGTTAGCTTTCTATTTATTGCTGATGAAATCTTAAAAGTCCTGAACCAGTTGATGTAACTATTAACTAGTCTTTTTTATAATCTTATCCTCATTGTTATGGGACCATTGCATAGATGTATGAAATAAAAGAAAAAAGGCCCAAAATAGCCCCTCATCTTTGGGTTAAGACTCAAAGTCATCTTTGAGTTTCACATGGAGCATTAATAGTCTCTCATGTTTGCAATATTGGTGCACTTTTGGTTCTCCTTCAAAATTTTGCCTATTTTTTAACATTGATTTTATTCATAATTTATGTATGGAATGTTTAATCGTCATTTTATATATTTAGTAGAAATAATAACTCAATGTGAGAGATTGTGAGAAGAAAAACACCTTATTTTGTTTAGTAGAAATTGTATTGCAGGTAAAGTCGATAGGTTCATCACGACGATTTCACGTACAATAGTACAAATTTTTCTTTTCTTGCAATGTCATACGTTAAAATGTTCTTAGTTTAGCTGCAGTAATATTTATACCGAACATAACAAGGTATTCTTCTTCTCATCTTCTCTCACATAGAGTTATTATTTCTACTAAATATATAAAAAGACGATGGGACATTCCTTACATAAAATTATGAACAAAATTAATGTTAAAAAATAGGCAAAAGTTTAGGGGAGGACCAAAAGTGCATCAATATTACAAACATAAGGGACTATTAGTGCTCCATATGAATGACTATTAGTGCTCCATGTGAAAACTTAAGGATGACTTTGAGTCTTAACCCCAAAGATGAGGGACTATTTTGGGCCTTCTCTCGAAATAAAACTCTTACCTACAATTAGGGATGTATATGGACGGGTTGGTTTGGATTTTTCAAATATCAAATCAGTTGTGTCGGATTTTTAAATGTATAAATTAAATCAAATTAATAAAACTCAATTTTTTCAACCTCGGATTTTTTTGGGGTTTATCCGATAAAGTATTCATACAGACATAAAATTAACTTGTGCTTCAAATATTTGTTTAGTCCTACCAAAATACAACTATCTAAGGTGTTTCTTGAGAAAATAAAACAAAATATGAGATGACTGATGACACTAAAATATTCAACAAAATATAATAATGAAATCGCATAAAACAAATATTACAAATTAATAAGTCATAATGAAAATGATCCTAATTTAAAAGTACTAAATCATGCTAAATAAGTCTAATAAGTATTAATTACATGACTAAATATTAAGAAAAGTTAATATATATATATATATATATATATATATTTTATTTTTTTTAATTATGTAAACTAATGTAAAACTAAAGAACAAATATTCAACATTATTGTCATTCTTAGTGTTAAATTGATTTTCTTGTTAGTATTAGTATTAATTTGATTTTGATTTGAACTTTATTAGAGTTACTAACATCTATGGACTATAACTTTTATTGGACCATCAAAATTCTAAGTTTCAAACTTGAAATAATATGTTTAAAGATAAAACTATGAAAAGATACAAAAAGATATTTAGAAATTATAGCAAAGTAAATATTTTTATACATAAAATAAACTTTTAAAATTATATATATAATGTCAGGTTGGTTAAGTCTCAGATTATTTTAAAAAAAAGTTAAAACCAAACCAACTCAAGTATAATCAGATTTTTTTCAATACCAAATCAAATCAAATTAAATTACTAGTCAAATTCTTTTTTTTTATTTAACTCGATTTATGATTTAATTCGATTTTGTCCAATTTCAAAATAGAACAACAAAATCTTTTCATAATCCATACAACTTCCTACAAACATACAAAGTGAGGGATTTTAACGATGTTATCTTTCTTCTTATCTTCATTGTTTTTGTACGAAGTTGACCTCCACAAATTTAAATTAAAAAGTTATAGAAGATTGTAACCTTGGATCACTTTGTTTTGGCGAATTGTGCAAAAGGTTTAACATGTTTGTTTTCTTAAGGGATAAGGGTCTGAAAAATACCTCAACTTTGGTCGAATTTGCTGTTGCGATACTAAACTTTCATGAGGACATATTACCTCCCTAGACTATTTAATACCATATTTTAAATATATATATTTGCCCACGTGGACATAAAAAATAATGCAAAAATTATAAATAGTAATGTGTCCACATGGGCACATATATACCTTTAAAATACACTATTAAATAGTTCATGGGGTAAAAAATACGGTATTAAATAGTCTAGGAAGGTAATAGGTCCTTATGAAAAGTTTAGTATCGCAACAACAAATCCGACCAAAGTTGGAGTATTTTTCAGACCCTTATCCCTTTTCTAATGTAAGATCGGTGGTCTTGATTCTTGAATGATACTTTTACGGTGTATATTTTAATATTTGGTATTGAAGTCTTTCTATGTATGTAATTTTTTCTTTACAAAATATAAATTTGTGGGTAAAATTTTTGTATTTGAAAAATATGAGCTCATGATATAAAATTCCAAAATCAAGTTTTTTTAATGGAGAATGTGAGATTTTATCTCATAATTTAAAATCACATAATGCAAATTTTATTGCATAATTTCAAATTACGAAATGAAATCGCATGTCCAACAAAATTTATGAAATAATCATTACTTTAACCCACATTTAAATTATTTTATCAGATACAATCATTACTCTGAACAACCAAATTTATTGTATTACTTAATTAGAGTAGTATACTATTATTTTTTTTAAAATGAAGAGTAGTATACTTTAACTCATGTTCAATTTTTTTCTTTATTGAACTAAAATTCGATCAATAAATATTGTGCGAAATATACACTATGCGAAATAGACCACTTATACCCTTTGTTATATTTTGGGATAAAAAATGCTCTCGCCGTTATCCTAAGAGACCACAAATATTCTCAAGCAGTGTTTTAAAAGGCGGGGGCGTGAGGCAAAGCGTTTTACTTAGTATAGGGCGAGGCGTAAGCCTCGAGACATGGGACGTAAGCCCTATGGATCTTTAAATTTTTAATTTATAATATATAATAATATAATAACACAAAATTATAAAAATTCATCAATAGTTTGAAATAATTACGAACATGATTAAGAAAACTCATAAAAAAGAACTTCTAACATAATTATACAAGTATAAATAATCTAATATCTTAACTTTCTAATAATAAAAGAATCATTATTTCTAAAAATATATTTTT